TGCCAGATAAAAACCAGAAATTTTATATGTAAAAACCTTCTCTTATAAATCTTACAGAATGCTAATAAAAATTCTCTCCTCTTATATTGTTAAAATACTGTGCATAAAATATGCTGAATGTCTTTAAAGTATTGGATTCTGCATATTTTTAAGAAGCTTGTAAAACAGCAAATGTAAGAAAATAGTTATAGATGTATTACAAATTTTACATTTTATTAATAAAATTAATCAGTCTGGAACTGAGCTCTAAAATAAATCTACTCCATAAGCATACAAAGCTTCTCAATATACTCTCTAATGTAGAAATCTCAATACCAAAACTTTGGTTGGGTTATATTCAATGGTTTGTCACATATGAAATTTACAGCAACTTTAAGTCACCAAAAGAAAATGAACCAAGCTGTTCAACCATGTTCCATGATTTTAATAAATCTAATATGTTCTTATAGAAATTAAGTTTACTTCTCCAGCTTATTCTATACACCACTTTGCCCATACTGCTGCCATGTCAGCAGGGATTATGGGATTTGAAATGTAATACATCTGGAAGCCATCTATTGGGGGGGGGGGGGAAGCTGCAGCATACAGTCAGGTATCTTCTGCTTTTCTATGACATAATAGTAAGTTTGGCACTTCCAAATAAAGACACTTCCAATGGCACATTCCTTACTTTCAGCAGCGAATAACCTGCAAGTATCTTGACAGCAAATATTTGTACAAAAAAAAAAAAAAAGAGAGAGAGAGAGAGAGAAAGAGATCAGCAGCCAAGACTGACAAGAGAAAAAAAATATACAAGAAAATGCAAAGAAGATGAAGAACGTCTTTGGACTTCTTTATGCAGTTCTTGTAGTCAGAGATGTCTAAAGCACTTTAAGCTGTAACCTAGGATAATAGAAAGAAAACATACAATGATAAAAGGCACTCTTCATTGATCAGATCCCTACATAAAAATGCATTTTTATGGCTTTTTCATCAGGCATCCGGCAAACTATGCTATTTTGACACAAGTCTGCCAGGGAGGATATTGAGGTATTCGTGCCTTAAAAACTTGTGGTGGTGATTCTCCTGTGGCTTTACTCAAAATAAGTAAAAGATAAAGCTATATTTGACTTCACCTGGTAGCTGCTCTTTCATGTCTCTTGTTGGCTTTTGATGAGCTGCCCTTCTGTGACACCTTAAGATCACATAGTGCGATTCATCATCTAAGATACTTTCAAAAGGTAACTCCACCCCATCCTTTCATCATATAACAAAACAAAAGCAAATATGCAAGAATGTCCTACCAAAACCATTAATCTTTAGAAAACTGAGAATGAACAACATGTTGGTAATTTCAAAATGAAGTCATTAAAATGCCTAGATTAACGGTAAAATAAGTACTCCTTTCTCTCCCATTTTCTTGTTGCCCTTTCCACTGATTATTTATTGGCCAAATTGCACCTAAAGTTATTCTACGTTACTAAACTTTTATCGTAACATTTTATTTATTATTAGAATTTAAGTTTCCTGCTTCTAGAAAAATAACATGTCTCATATCTCATAAGATAGCTTTTTTATAGCTTCTATATTGATTTCTAAAGTACAGGTAGTCCTTACGACCACAATTGAGCCCAAAATTTCTATTGCTAAGTGAGACAGTTGTTAAGTGAGTTTTGCTCCATCTTTCAACCTTTCTTGTCACCGTTGTTATGTATATCACTGCTGTTGTTAAATTAGTAACAGAAATGTAAAGTGAATTTAACTTCCCTATTGACTTTGCTTGTCAGAAGGTCAGAAAAAGTGATGACATGACCCTGGGACATAAATATGAGTCACTTGCCAAGCGTCCTAATTTTGATCATGTGACCACAGGGATGCTGCAATGGTTGTAAGTGTGAAAAATGGTCCCAGGTCACTTGTTGTAACTTCGAATGTTCAGTAAGATTGTAAGTCAAGAACTATCTCTATGTATTTATAAATCATCTTTCATCAACAAGGCAAAGCATGTGTTTATAAACTTTCTGATCTAGAATATGTTTTGATCATATAAGCAAATTATATAATTGCATTTGCTAATGATATTTTACATGTAATATCTACTGAGCCTTCTCTCTTTGTCTAATTTCCTTCTAGGGCAGAAGTTCCTTTAACACTCTTGGAGCAGTTCTGTACATGACAACTTTGTGAAAATAAGATAATTTATATGCAGCTTTTCATTCTAATGGAACAGTCTACCCCAAGCTCAATTTTGCCCTTATACTATTGCTTTAGGGTTTTAAGATAATGAATGTATTGCCAACATAGTCATAAAATAACAAAAAGAGAACTAACCTTCCAGTCTTATCCTGACACCCAGCTATGTGTTGTTGTTTTAACACCGTATGGCAAACTTTGGTTAGGTAACACACTGTCAAAGTTAAAATCTAACGTTTCCCCATCCATCAGATCATTACGGATTATGGATTCCATATCGCAGTCCAATCGTTCAATGAACATGTCATCTAAGTCACTAGGCAGCTTCTCCTGATGGAAAGAAACAATTCCCACTCTTCCATACCCATTACAGCTGTTCACTGTGGTGAAGGGGCTTATGCTATTCACTTGCATGGGGTGGCTCATGAGCCCCTGGACTGAGTTTTTGGCTGAGGTTGAATGAGTCACGTTTGAAGCGTGAGACACAGCGCTAAGGGTGAGAGACAAGGTATGGCTGTTTATAACTGCTGTGGGTTGGACGTGTCCTTGATGAGAGTGAGCACTGGGGGCAATGATTTTGTTGTGGGACTGCTGGTTGCCATATGGTGATATTGCAGAGTTAGAGACCATTAATATATTTTGTCCCAGAACTCGGCTATTAGGCTGGGAAACATGAGTATCTACTGAGGCTAAGACGTCATTATGTGGCGGTGAATCAGAAGTAAGCAACTCCTTAAGAAGTCCTGGGCAGTTATATTGGTTAAGAGTCCCATAGCTCGATTTATTGTCCTGAATTGTCGGCATAGGCATCTGGGACAAAGAATTTATGCTAGGCTGAGCATAACTGTACTTCCTGTAGTCTGCATTGGCTGAACCTATATTTGTACTGGACGATGTATATGAATAACCAGTGGATTGTTGCATCATGGTAGTCGGTGGCGATTGGGTAGACCCAGTCAATGATGTATTTGGAGACAAAAGATTGAGATTATCCAGTAGATTTTCCATATTTTCGGAACTACTCATTTCAGAAAGGCTTGGCAGGGTTGAGGCCATTTTGGTTGCTGATGGAGGGTAGACCAGGGAATGCACATCCCCTTCCCCAAGGTCATCTTGTTCTGGCAGAATTGGGGAAAGTCTTCCACTAATAGTACTAGCATTTGAACTGGCTCGAGGTCGAAAAGTACTCCAGTTATTATCAAAGTCATCGTTGCTATGATTGCTGGGGCTCGCAGGCCATTTCGAGAACTGTGCTCCTGGACTGTCGCCATTTCCATCTTGACCTGCTTGAAGAGCTGATTTTTTCTTTGCAGCCCTCCCTCGACTTTTTGCAAACTTGCTGCTGTTGTCCATGGAGGCAGCCCTCCTCCTGGGTGACTTGCCACTTTTGCCTCCTTCTGGATTAAGCATCCACCAAGAGCTTTTTCCCGTTCCTTCATTCTGTACTCGAATGAACTTGCTGTGCAAAGAGAGGTTGTGACGGATTGAGTTCTAAAAAAAAAAGAAAACGTAAGAAAGATATTGAATTCCTCTGCCACAGTAATATATTCTGGATTCCCCACCCCACCCCAAAAACCCACAAATCCATCAAGTGAGAAATAGAACAATATCAATATAAAATAGTATCTCTCCCTCTACACACACACACTCACTTTCAATTGTATTTCTGTCAGTAACAAAACGTATCACACTTGTAGGATGCAAAGAGGGTGAATCAAGATCAACAAATCACAGTGGCTGCCATACCAAATAATAACACTCTTCATTGTTAGAATCAACAGGATTCTGCACTACACACATACAGGAAGCCATACCTGTTCCATCTGAAAATTAGCACCATAGATTATCAAATGTCTCTGGACGCTAGACATTCAGCCAGATTGCTATGTAAAAAGCCCTCCTCACGGGAGCATAGCTGAAGAAAGAAAAAATTCAGGATCTGCTAAGCCAGTTCCCCTACCCCCACCCCACAAAGAGGAACTGGAAAGTTTGGCTTCATCAATAATTCCATCCCGTCAGCTCAAAGACAAACTTCTCAGGAAGCAGACTAGACTAATGCAAATACAGAGAAAAGAGGAGGAAGAGAGGCTGCCTAGAGGAATCAAAGGACACAGAACAGTACAGATGGCATTTGGCTTCAATAGGGTTAAACCCACTACAATCCCTTCTCTTGCCAGTTGACCAGCTAATTGGTCTGAACAGAGAGTTATTTTACCTCTGCTAAGGGAGCGGAAAGCCAACAGTCCATTCCCACCAAGTCATCCATCTCCTGGCCTATGAGAAACAGGGAAAGGACGCAAGACCACGGAAATCACACAACCCTTGTCCCAGCACTCCCGGGCACGTCTTTCTATTAGTAGATGTCTTAGAAGGAACTGGAATCAGGTGGGTTGGCAGAAAAGGCACAGATAGCTTTCACCCTGCCCAAACGAGCTTGTTAAGTTTCCAGAGATGATGGCAACGGGTTTAACTATCATGGAAACAGGTGGACAATGCACCCAGCTGCATTTACAAAACTGGCAGTTACTTAACAACCTCTTGAGAAAATGTCATGTTAAAATGCAACAGTTATGTCTTATGAACATAATGGACAGGCTCCACCATGGTCATAACTCAAGGACCACCTGATAATTAAGATGACAGGTTAAAATACATTTGTAGTTAAAAATGCTGTCAAGAATACTGGAAGCCATTTCATTATAACTTTTGTTATTTTTTCCTTTTCTTGCACTTTTTGCTTTTTTTCCTCTCTCTTTTTCTCTTTTCCTTTATATTAGCTTGTGTTAGTTTTTATCTTTTTTTAAAAAACGTATGTGTATGTACATATATATAAGATTAGAATAAGATAATAAAATAAAACCAAAATAAAAGTATTCAGCTTTCATTTGAACAAGTGTGGTAAGCCCATTAGAAATATTAGGGGAATATATGGTTATAAATTTCATATTTTGCTATGAGTCCCCCTTTTTGTAAGATGCAAGGTTTTTGTGTGTGTGTGCATAAGATATAATTTAAACAAGGATCAAATTGGTGTGGGTGTTCTGTGTTGGAGTGTGTGTGCTTGTGGTCTTGTGTCAAGGGAGAAGAAACCTGACCCCTTTTCCCACTTTCTTGGCACTTCACCTTCCTTGTCTGGTTCACGTTTGATCATGCAATTAGACAGACAGGTAAAATGTTTAAAGCAGCTAGTGAGAAATGGAGTGTGTTGTGGTGTCAACTTTTACATTCCTCCTTTGCGTATACTTTTTCGGGTGTGAAGTAGGACCCTTCCTCCGTTTCATAACTGAATAGGAAAAACATACCGCTGTTCTACGTGTCTGTTTTATCTTGTATGATGTTTCTAGCCAAGGCTTCTGTAAACTTGCTTCATTCACCCAATGTCAAATCCAGAGATTATCACTTTCTAATTCGAAACATAAAGTTTTGCTCATCTACTGAGCAAAAGTATATTCCTACTTCCTACTGAAAATAGCTTAAAAGAGGGACAGACAGAATAATAGTGCTACACCTTGTCCTGGCAACATCAGCAGATAAGAATGTTTGAAGCTACTTGAGATAATTCAGTGTGAGGTGAACATGAAGTTGGAAAACTTTAAAAAAAAACCACAACACTCTGGACTGTTCACACTAAAATCCATTAACACATTTCCCCCCCCCCCCAAAAAAAAATGAAACCAAAGATGTTTTGTGGCCATCATATATCTCACCTTACCAAAGCTGAAAGTATGTTTTATACTGAAAATGTAATTCTGTGTGCAGATCTATCTGTGCAAATTATTCACTCCATCCACAAAAGAACCATTTAGTATTTTGCAGAAACTGCGGAGGCTTCCTTAGTCATCAAAAAGTTACAATCTAGTATTCTTATATGAAGGACATTCAAGGTCACTTTTGGAGCAGCTAAGCCATCTCCAAATTTTGCCAACAACAACAGAAGTTCCAAACAGGAAAAAGTTTGCAGCAGAGCGCCTGTTACATAAATTCCTGTTTTTCACAAGCCGGGGGAAATTAAAGAAACTACAGTATGATTTACTTCTTGGAAAAAAGTGTGGAAGAGAAATAAGTATTGCAAAAATATTTAGCATAGTTATTGATGTTGTGTCTACAAATCTTTGCCAAACATAGACATGACTTGATAATGGTACAATTTTAAACACTGGAACTTGGCAACTGGGCCAGCAAGTGCAGTGACTGAATTTGGAGTCTGTCCCTCAAGCCTAGAAAGAACTTGAGCGACAGTGAAAATGAAAGGTGGCATTTTTTGTCTAAACTAAGCAAGAGTTTCACTTCAAAGTACATGCATCAACTCAGTATGTCAAATTTTATTGCTCTATTTCTTGGCAGGATTGATTGCAACTTCATCTATAATTAATCTTTAGCGGAGTCACTAAGTTTCTCTCTAACTTTGCAAACTTCACTCTGGAAACATTTCTGCATTTGGGCATAATTATTCTATTGCCACTTTCATACATCTATGTTTCTATTCCCTGATCCTCCCCCCACACCCCACCATTATGTTTGGAAGATGACCCTTTTTCCTCCTGGCCAGCTTAAAAACCAAGGAATAGGCAGGATATAACTTAGGCAAATCAGTGTCCTTTCCAGTCAACCAAGTGGAAAATCAAGACTAGCACCAACCTGTATCCCTCCCCCAACTTACAGCAATTCCTGCAGTAATAAAACTCCCCTTGTGCCCCCCTCTGCACAAAGAAAGGGGAAATTTATTTATTTTTTAGTGCATGTTTCAAGTTCATGCTATGTGTATTTGGCTGCTTGTGATACACAGAAAGATAGATCTAAGTTTTTGGTATAAAGGAAAATTGCTTAGCCATCAAGACTTTCTGCAATAAATCCCTGTTGAATTCTGCAATGAAGGCATAACAGAATTATGGTCTCTTTCCCAACACTTATAGGTCACACTGTAGAAGTGTATGGAAGCAGAGAGAACATAATGGGACAATTTGTCACAGCCAACTAGCCGCAGCCAACTCACCGCAGCTAATTCAACAAATACAAAAGTTAAATTAATTTCAACAGAACCATGGTGAATAATAATAAAGTCAATCCAGAAATACAAGAGCCACAATAATTTTGACAAAAATTGAACCATCAATAATAAAAGTAGCTGAATGAAACAATTAATACAGCATTGAATTGTCCCGTGGCGAATTGGCCATGGCGAGTTATCCTAGACCCCGGAGAGAAAGCAATGACTTGCTTGAATCCAGACATTTGGACATGCGATACAGAATGCAAACCCCCCTCCCTCCAAAAAATCCATGCCAGGCATTTATTGAGATTGTGAAATGGACCAGAAGGATTAAATTGAGTTCAAGGCTTCATTTTGCAAATCAAGTTGCAGAGGTTTTTGTTTTTTTTACAGGAATTATGGACGCTATAACATTGCCAGTAAAAGAAACTGAACAGCTTACAGCTAGGAAGTGCTGAATGTAAATGATGGAAGTAACTGTTCAGGTGACTGTTTTCCTGAATGGGAAAATGTCTCTCTAATCCTTGTACAGTTCTAATGTCACCAAGTGCAACTGAATCAGGGAATGAGAGATAAGACTTCTCACTGCTTCCATCTTTTTCAAGTATTACTCTGTGGTGGCGCAGTGGTTCAATCCTGAGCGGCTCAAGGCTGACTCAGCCTTCCATCCTTCCGAGGTCAGGAAAATGAGGACCCATATTGTTGGGGAGGGCAATAGGCTGACTCTGTAAAACGCTCAGAGAGGGGCTGTAAAACACTGTGAAGCGGTATATAAGTCTAAGTGCCACTGCTAATTCATTTGAGTAATATTTATTGTTTTGCTGTTAGCAATTTGCTACCAAATGTTTGTGGGACTTGAAGCACATTGCATCCTGATCAATGTTCCCGGATCAGTAAATCAGATACGTTAATTTCCCATCTACTGTCCATTCAGAAGCCCGCTTATGTCCATCCACAGCAAAGCTAGCATCTGCTTCCTGCTACCTGGAATATGCATACAAGAGGAGATGCTCTGAAATTTGGAAGCCAAGAGCTCTACAGAGATAAATCTGACCCAGTGAAGTCCCTCTACAGGTTGTTGATTCTCGATGACTATTAGCAACCGGAAAACAGTGGTCTGATCCTCACCAATCTTTTGAATAAGTAATCAGCAAGCAGTTGGGACACCAGATTGTTGGGCTTCCTGCCTTAACAGCAGCAGGAAACCAATGATCCATTTCCTGCCGGCCAGCTGATGATGCTGATTAGTTGGCCAGCAGGAAGAGCAAACCAAGTTCCTAAGATTCTAGGAGGTCACACTTTTTGGTGGTTTAGGACTGTCTATGACCCTAGACCATAGCTTGTCCATCCATGATATATTGTCATTTCAAAGTTTCAGTTAAACCTGAAAATCTTCTCCATTTCTAGCAATAATACCATCTACGGGGAAAGGCATTAATCTATTCCATTAAAAAGAAGTAAGGAACGATCTGCTTAGGCGTGAATGTAGTAGCTTTTTTTTATAACGGTATTATAATATGACTTCCTTGTTAAATCTTTTATACTCCATTTAAAATCTTTTTGGGGCATTTTAAAATAAACAAGCTTGAATCCAATCACTTACAATAACAATATAACCAAATTAGCCCATCACATTTAAGACATGGCTCTTTTATCAAGAATGTTCTAAAATTATATGCATCATCAAACTATGGGGAAGCTTATGTAAATGTTAGTTTTGAAGAGTTTCTCATATTGATGGATTTAGTTAGAGCAGGGGTGTCAAACTCGTGCCATCATGGCAATGTCACATTATATATCACAACTTTTTTTCCCCTTCACTAAACCGGGCATGGGTGTGGCCAGCATGTGACATATCCAGCCCACAGGCTGTGAGTGTGACAGCCCTGAGTTAGAGGCTTATCAAAATTATTTAGCCAAAAAATCATGGATATATTGATATACATTTAATGGTAGTAAAATGTTCTGATTTTATCCTGTATTTCAGGATTTAGTGACCATTTTCCATTCTGATACATAGAAAAAAAAATTCAGAGGATCTGTTGTACTGCTTTTTTTCAGATGATAATTCACTGTGTCAAGATTTCAGGTGATGTCTTTAAAACACTATAATATTTTTTGAAATCAGTTATGAACTATATCTCTGGGGAACTGAACATCTGTTTCATTAGCTTTTGTGCACACTATTTATAGCAGGAATGAGATTACACAGAAATTACAAAGCATCTAAGAAAGTGTGTTTGTCTATGTGTCTGAATCAATGAAATAAAACCTTAGCTGCTTATTTAATTCTCTATATGTTTCAATGTATTGTTTACATTCTGTTTTTTGGGGTTTGGTCTTAGGGAATACATACTTTAAATGAAAATGAAATGTACAGTTTAAAATTGTTTTTTAAAAATAGCAAACGTAGATATAAAAAGAAGAAATTTAAACTTAAGGTATCAAGAAGAGGCATAAAATCTTATTTAGTAAAAAATCAAATCATGTAAGTGTTCTTAAAAGAACTCATTTACTGCATTGAAATAACATATTTTACCTGATTATTCAATTAACATATTTTCTGAGTGTCATAGAATAGACCATAGCATATACAATCAAGCACACTATTTTTTATAACATACTAAGCCACAAAAACAAAATAGCCTTTCCCCTTCAAAGCTAACAAACTTTCAGCTCATTCTCATGTTGCCTGTCATAATATAAAGACACCCCACTGATACCACTTCATGGGCATGTCTTCACAAGACATGTTGTCTCTATGTTACCACCAGCTCACTGAACAGCCAGGCCGAAATTGGTGTAAAATGTTGTAGTCTGAAGAGTAATGATTTCCCTCATAATATGACACACAACCTCTCCGGTGGACATTCTAAAGCACACAGAGAACAGGGGACATGTTCAGGTTCAACAATCTGCTTGGCTCCAATTGACGAGGAAGATGAGCTGCGACATCGTCCCCTCCTATATGGTTCCTGGTCTTGGCATCTTCATGGACATTTTTGCTTTGGCTACAGGAGAGACAGGATACCTCCCGTGAGTGACCTCATACCTCTTCTTTTGGGAGGTGTGGATATGAGAATATTAATCTCATGGAGGACCCTATACAGTCTTCCTTATTTGGTAAGCAAAATAAAAATAAACCTAGGACGTAGGTTTTGAGAAACAAAAGTAAATCTCAGAAGTATTGCCCTTAAAAGTTTCTAAAAACTGCCGAATTTAGGAGGGGACAACTGTGTAGGTTGCACCATCCCAAGTAGTGACACAATCGGAAGGCTGGGAGAGACTTCAAGAAAACCTCAGGCCCGTGTGGACAATATTGTGCTGATTTTGGCTGCGGGCACTAGAGTTCCTCAAGAAACAGCTGAACAGCCTATGCTTGTTCACTGGGTAGACCTACCTGAGTCAGACAAAATCATTCCAGCCACAATTGGCACATGATCTAACATTGGGCAGAGGCAGTGACCCAACCCCTACCATAAAGACACAAACCAGGACATAAGTAGTTTCCTCCAAGTAGATCCTATAATTTATCAAGTTGCTTTGGTCCTCTGTGGGATTAGGAGAGAGCAAAGCAAGCAAAGATGGGGGATCGGGGACTTCAAGAACTAATGTTGACGGTAAGAACCATGTCTTTTATAGTCCTTTATTACCATCCTTAAACCTCTGATTAGCAAGAAAGAGGAGTCAGAAGTGCTATTCCGATCATCTATGTAAGTCCCAAGGCAATGGTGGGATTCAATTTTTTTTTACTACCGGTTCTGTGGGCGTGGCTTGGGAGAGGCGTGGCAGGGGAAGGATACTGTAAAATCTCCTCTCAGAGGTAGCATTTGCCGGTTCTCCAAACTACTCAAAATTTCTGCTCCTGGTTCTCCAGAACTGGTCAGAACCTGCTGAAGCCCCCAACCTTTTTTGTGCCACGGCCCAGTACCGGCATCACAAAATGATCTGCGGCCCGGTACCAGCATCAGCACACATGACAAGACAAGGCAAGCTGAGCGACTGGCCAGCCAGCCATCCCTTGCTTCTCCCCGCCACCTTCAACCCCTCCTTTGTACCTTTGTCGATGGGCTTCGTTTTGGGACAGCTTTGGGACAGTCGCTCGGCTCACCTTGCCTTGGGTGCTGAAAGAATCCTCGCGCCTTAGTTTCGTTTGAAGGCCCCCCTTCGATGAAACTAAGGCACGAGGATTCCTTCAAACGCCGCTTTCCAACTGGAAAAGCTCACCCGGAAGCACTTTCTCGTCAAACAAGATGGCGGCGCCCAGCAAACCAGCGGCCCGGTAGGAAATGTTCCATGGACCGGTACCGGTCCGCAGACCGGTGGTTGGGGACCCCTGGTCTAAGGAACAGAGCAGTTCTGGAAGACACTTAAGAGGACAATATTCTGATAGCCAGAACTTTTTGAATAAGGTAAGAAAAATAGTGACATAATAAAAAATGAAAGCTCAAACCTGAAACCCATCCCAGAACACGTATGAATAATTATTGGTAGTTTATTTTCCTACCCAGTGAGCGAGGCTGGCAGTAAGTAGAAAGGTAGCTGGGAATCTACCTATCACTGCTCAGGGTTACACTCTGGGTGAGAGGGCAGTTTCTGCTGAGGTGCAACAAAACAAAGCAGCCATTTTCATATTGACATACTTTCTTCCCAACTCAAAGATCTGAGGAAGAAGCCCTTAGTCAACTATATAGTATAACTGCCAGGTTTTTTCCTGGTTTCAGTGGAAAACTCAGTTGAATTGTATTGCCTCAGTCATGGGCATTTTTCACATCCATGCCCTCATGGCATTTCAGCCTCTGGATCCTGGTATATTACTCCATTTTTACAATGCTTTTCAAATAGGTAGCCCTTGACGTATGACCACAATTGTACCCCAAATTTATGTTGCTAAGCAAAGGTAGTTGTTAAGTGAATTTTTCCCTGTTTTACGACCTTTCATGCCACAGTGGTTAAGTGAATCACTACGGTTGTTAAATTAATAACATAACATCTGGCTTTCTCCATTGACTTTGCTTGTCAGAAGGTCACCCAAGGTGATCCCATGACCCCGGGACACTGCAGCTGTCATAAGTACATGCCACTTGCAAAGCGTCTGAATTTTGATCATGTGCTGCAATGGTAGTAAGTGTGAAAAATGCTCATAAGTCACTTTTTTTCAGTGCCATTGCAACTTTGAACAGTCACTAAATGAATGGTTGTAACTCAAGGACTACCTGTATTTATTGCTATTATGAGCAGTTCTCCTTTAAATACAGATCAGATTGTCCATTAAGATGGTCCCTTGCAATCTGTCTTATAGGTGGACTCAGGAAAGCCCTTTGAATTGGGAAATCTCCAGGACAAATATAGACAAGATGACGGATTTGATAAATCAAAGGTAGGATCATAATTCATTTCCTGGAAAGTAATGAAAAGGGAAATAACTACTTTGTTTAACCCCAAAGACAGCAATCCCTAAATTCAAGATGTTCCCTTCCTGAATACTGTATACCTACCAAAATACTGTAAACCAGATTATTAGAAAGTCAAAATATATCTCAGTGAGGTTCTTCCAAGAAAACTACATGGACGTGTCCATTAAGTCATCAAGCATCTTATGTGATTAGAAAGGAAGATTAAATAGAAAAGGCAATATAATTTTTTTTTTAAAAAATTCCTATCTTGTCAACCAGAGTTGCCAATAGGCATTAAAATCAGCCCTGGGGATTTCCCTATCCAATAAATGCATACTTGTAACTTCCCTTGTGAATCATAAATATGAGTGAATGAATGGAAACAACACACACACACACATACATGAAAATTGATTAAATTAATGATTAATAATTAAGATTACCTATAAAATAAAGCACCACTGCCCGTATGTGTGGTGTCTTATTTTTGCCAATATGAAATTACAGATTATTCACAGGTAATTTTTGGGAGAGGAAGGGAAAAATCAATTCTCTTTGTTTTCTTTTTCATTGCTTATTTTATTGTTCTATTATTTTACTTCTGTTTTGTTTATTATTTTTCCACTTCTTGCTTTTTATTGTTGTAAACCACCTAGAGCAAGGGTGTTAAACTCACAGCGTCACATTGTTGTCACATGACATGTTGCAACTTTCCCCCTTTTGCTTAACTGGGGGTAGGCGTGGCCAGTATGTGACGCATCCAGCCCATGGGCCACGATTTGACACTCCTGGCCTAGAGTAATCCTATGGCAAGACAGGCAGCAAATAAATTAAATATATACATACATACATAGGTTTTCACTGTGGATCAAACTTCTTTTATCGGTACATATCATAAACATTGAAGCCTGGCCCCTATATTTTTAATATTTATATCTACAGTGAGCCATTCATTAGAATTACAGGTACTTAGATATCAAAGGAAACAGCTGTTAGAATCGGTGATGAAAGCTGTCATTTAATTGTGCTCCCAGGCCACCTAAACACTTTTGAAGGGTCACTGTTTAAAGCCATATCCCTTCTGAACTGACAATAAAATGCCACCAACTTCTTTAGCTTATATTTTGTTCCTATTTAGTATTTCCTGAAACTTCAGAATCATAAAACAGGAATGACAGGGCCCTAAGCCAAGAACCTCCATTGTTTTCAATGGAGGCACTCAAGAATTGGCAAAACAGGCTGGAAATGACAATGGAAGTAGAACTGGCCAGGCATCCATTCACACTGCTTTCACCCGCTCTTTGTCTCCCCTTCCCCTGACAGGATGAGTTTTGCTCAGAAATTCCAGTACTGTATTACAAACACCAAGGGGAAAAACATGCCATACGCACTATATAATGAGAAAGACAAATAGCCTGTTACATTTGTATTCCACCCAGCCTCCAAGGAACTCAGCCTTTGAAAGTTTCCTGCAGTGCCACAAACACTAGCTTCAAGTTTATGAATGAGGCAGGCAGCAACTGAGATCAAAAGACATGCAAACGGCCCAGAGGGATTTATCAAAGCAACCTGCCCCAGACTATAAAGTTCTGTTTAGCGCAAGTAGTTTCTAACTGCATGGTCATGGTGTTATTCTACACAAAGAATTTATTTCACTGCAAAACAGCCCAATATTCCAACCTTCATTCTGCTGCTCAGAACAATTCTACTTTTTAATATTTATGCGTAACTTCTCCTTTTAAAGAAAGATTTGTACAGATTCTTAGTATTTATTTGTTTACACTTAAACATATTAAGTATGTAATGTGTTTTCTGTTTCAGAATGTTTGTTTTTCTTCAAGTTACTGTCAATCTTGTCATAGTTTTTTTCCAGACCAATTTGAACAGTTAAAAAGGAAATACTTAACATTTGCGTAGGGGTTTCTTTTTCCACAAGGATGCATAGATGATGAAATACAATTCATCAATAGACTGCCTTGTGGTTCATTTAAGTACCTTTACATCCTGAATTTAATTATCTTGCAGAATTCTCCCCTTCCAAAAAGTTTCAACTGTGAAGCACTCAACAAATATTTCTCTTTTCTATTCTCTTTATCACTCCCTGGTTTATTTTATTTATTTTTTATAATCCCTGAAACGGAGAACATAGCCCCAAAAGATTTGCCGGTACAGACTTAAAAACAAAGAAAGGAAATACCCTGACATGTGCAGTTTCAAGTTTTAAACTTACAGTACTTAAATAATTGTAACTCCATTCTCATAGTCACACTGTAGCTACAGGAATTAAAACCTTGCTTCTACCAATGCTAAATATCCTTACTCTTTTTTTTAAAAAAAGTAATTTTATTTCTAATAATGCACATAAAAAAGGAAAACTAAGACATAATAAATATGTATGTGTATGTATGAGTATATGTAGACATAATATGGTTCATTTATAAGAAAATAACTTTTTTTATACAACAGATTTAATACACTTGAAAAAAACAGTAGGTTTTTCTTGAATTAAATGGCTTTAGATCAAAAGGTACATCGATAACATTGTTTAACATTAACATTGTTTAAAGGCCAACTCTGTTGATTAATTAAGATTGAATGTTCCAATTCCTGTTCCACTGTTACTGCAAATTATTGATACCTATCTGCAAAATTTTCTTTACTGGTCTATTTAAGAAAAGTTGGGTTTAAAATTTTCCAAAACTATTTACAGTAAGAGTTT